ACTCAGTTGAATCCACTACACTACTATAGAGTTCGTAGTTGCTACTGTAGCCAGTAGATACTACTATAGAGTTAATATATACGACTAAATATTCAATAGATACTGATGTAGTGACATAGAATTGGTTACTATGGTGCTTAGCACCAGTTACTGATAGGGGAGCTGGGATTGTAGTAGCCCTCTCCGCCAGTAGGGCATGCAATGTCATGCAACGGGTCCCTAGGGGGCGTAGTTCTGGTGGCTGGGGGGGCATCTGAGGACATAGCAGCCTGGTTGGCTGGCAAAGGTGACAGAAGGGACACGTGGGGTATGGCCCAGAACCTTCTGGTAGGTTCGAAAAGGGGGCATGGCCGAGGGCGGAGCCAGGCCACGCTGGGGGGCATAAAAGGGAGGTCCCGAGGCTGGGTCGGTGCTGTCTGCTGGAATGGACTCCTCCGTGCTACATCTTCCCCTGGGTCTTCGTTCTTCATGCTCAGCACAGTAGGTCAGGCAGTGTGCCGACTGTCCTGACCCGGTTTATGTAGTCATCCCGTTGTGGTCCATAAAATAAACATGTTGCCTCCCGAGTTAGTGTCTCTCAGTGAACCCACCACATCTGGTGTCAGAAGTGCTTAAAATAATTAGCGGAAACTTCTAGTGGTGTACGATGCTCACGAGAAAGAAACTTCTTGCCATGGTGTCTTCGGACGAGGAAGACAGCGGGGAAGTGATTCCCCAGACAGCCCGGGGACTGCGACCCCGGAGAATTTCCTGAGGTGGCTCTCCTGGCGAAACTGACGTCTCCGCACTACCGTCGTCGGGACAAGCACGCTGGATGCGCAGCGCCCGCCTCGCGGACTTGTTGTCCGCAGCAGCAGCGTTGGTGGTGTAGTTGGACATGGAGGAGCCGGAGGAAGACGCTGGAGTGCAAGAGCCGCGTCTGGATAGCCCCGCTGCTGTTGGCTGCTGAGTGCGGGAAGTGGGGGAGCTCCAGCCCGTGCGGGCAGCCGCCATTTTGCTGGCTGGGCATAGGAACGACTCAAGCCAAATTGGATTGGACTCTTTGGTGCTGGAGCTCATTTTTATGCTGGCCCAAGAATTGGATATTTTCCTGCCCGCCATGGAAGAGGACGACTTATCTTCACTCAAGGTTGCGCGATGCAATCAAGCACACTTTAACTTGCGGCGGCGAGTTGGGGTGGCTGCTTGCGCAGGACTTTCAGATAATACGGAGGCGCCTGAAGGCACAGAGTCCCCCCAAGTCTGTGCATCGGTCAACGTTGATTTTCGCGGGAAAGGCGATGCAGATCTTTGAGGGGAGCGAGACCAATGGGGTGGGACTCTTCTTCGTCCAAGGAGTGCTCTCATCGTCTGTTTTAAGTGCGGCCTGCCGGTTCATATCTCAGGGGATGCCGCACCGACCAGGGGAAATTATCCACGACGGCGTCATCTTCCACTCTACCGACCTCTGCACCTCCGAGTCCATGGGCGAGTCACGATGCATCACACACCCGGCCGTCACAGTCACCTCATGCATCTTGTTCGCGTGCCGGGTCGGATTCATGTATCGTTACTCCTCGCCGTGTTACTGAGCATGAAAATCGGGTTGTGGCGGGTGGCGGATGGCCGCGGCGTCCGGGTCAGTGGTTGGCGTTGGGGCATCGTATCATCAATGCGGCGGCGGGATCATCGGCAGTCATTAGGAGCGACGGATGAACAAACCATGTCCGGGTGTTGAGGTGTGGGTGCTCATTGATACAAGAACATCTGCTACCATTATTTCGGAAATTATTTACATAACCTTGCCACAGAATTCGTGTGATCTGAGTGATGGGCAGCGACCGCGATTGGCAGTGGGTTTCCACCAATTAAAGGGCTGCCAGGTAAAAATTAGCATATTAATGTAAGATCGGTGAGCGGCCTCCACGGCAAGCGTGCTGAGGTGGCTATGTTAATGTGAGAGATTGGCATGTTAATGGAAGATTGCAGAGCCACCGCCATGTCAAGGTACGGCGCGCGAAGGTGGCTGTGTTGGTGTGAGAAATTGAACCTGTTAATGTAAAATCGGAGAGCTGAAAATAACAACTAACATCGGAAGGTAGCAGGATGGGAACATCACAGCCAGTTATGACTGTAACTGGTTAATAACATCCTTACAATGATTGTTAAGTTTGTGCCCATCTTCTGGATTGAAATTGTGTCTGTGTCTGTATATATGGATGGCTTCATGAATGAATCTTTGTTGATAGCCAGTGGGTTTGCAAAGTACCTTCGTTTTAGAGAAATCAATATCGTGTGAGCCCACCACATTAAAACAATGATCAGCCACAGCCGAGGTATTGGTCCTACCGTGTTTCAGATCTGCCTTGTGTTCACGAACACGGTCCGAGACATGTCGCTTAGTTTCCCCAATGTAATTACTGCCGCAGACACAGCTTAGTTTGTAGACGCCGGGGTATTGAATTTCAGGGATGACATCCTTTACAGATGGGATCAGATCACATGTCCTATTATCGCCGTTTTGTCGCCGGGTTCGCCACCATCGTGAAACCCCTCCACGCCTTGACGGCTAAAGGTCAGAAGTTTCATTGGAGGGAGGATGAGGCCGCATTTGTTGCGCTCCACGAGGCCCTGGTGAACGCCCCTCCCCTCCGCTACCCCGACTTTGCTGCGCCGTTCATCTTTGACACAGACGCGAGCAACACCGGCATCGGCGCAGTTCTGTCCCAGGTTGTCAACGGGGTGGAGTGCGTCATTGCATACGGCAGCAGGGTGTTGTCGCTAGCCGAACAGCACTACTGTGTCACGCGCCGGGAATTACTGGCGATCGTTTTCATTGTGCAACAATACCGCCCCTACCTGTACGGCAGATGATTTACAGTGCGCTCGGACCATGCTGCGCTACAATATGCTTTGCATATTGGCCGCCTATAGGATGGCTCCACACACGTCCACCGGCTACTCGCCGTTCTTTCTCATGTACGGCAGAGACCATGACCCCTCAATTGATGTCCAATTACGTGTTGCGCCTGACAAAAATAAGTCCACGATCTCGGATGCCATTCGCCTTACCCTTCAGCTTTCCGAAGCATGCGAGGCTTCCAGGGAAACTCTGCATCACGCTAATTGGCTAACGAGCGGCTGAGGGGTTTCCATACTTCCGCCCATGCCTGGGCTGCTGGCGAGAGAGCTTGGCTGCACTGTCCTTAGGTGCCGGTGGGGACGTCGTCCAAACTGCTTAAACCCTGGAGGGGACCAGTCGATGTGCTTCGGGTGGTCCGACCACAGTGTGTTCAGATTTGGTTCAGTCGGCGGACATGGTTTGTTCATCCGTCGCTTCTAAAACCCTTCATCGCTCCTCGTGTATTCATCCCATCTCCAAAACGCGGGGGCTGAGTATCTGATGTGTCAGACAAGCAGGGGGATGTGCCCGCTGTGATCGACCCTCGCAGCATTGTGACTCCTTACTCAGGTGCCGCGCGACTGACGAGGCCCATTCTCCGTCTGCACCGGCTCCATTGGCTTCAGAAGACGGGAGCATGTCGGCCCGGCCAACCGTTCTCCGTGAGGAGCCGGGTGGAGGGCGCGCCCAACTACCCTGGGGGCCCTGCCACACGGACTCGCTCGAAAACTTGGTCTTCGTGATCCCCATGCTCACACGCTCCCACACTATCAGTTGGTTGTCGCGCTCGTTGTGTCATGCCAGCTATTGGCTGAACCTAGCCTGTGTTGTGCTCGTGGGCGTTGTTGCACGGTGAGGGTGGGAGATGTGGGTGATGGAGGGGATTCCGGCGTCGCGTGTCAAATTTTCGTTTTTAGTTGTTGTGTTGTTGTCGGGGCTTACCTTTTTTCCCCATTGGGTTGTACATTTGTTGATAGTGTAAATATTGTATAGGTGGGTTTGGGTATTTAATTGTTAATTGTTATTGTTCTTGGTTTGTTGAGGCGCACTTTGTTCTTGTTAAATAGTTAGGTCGATTGATAGTTAGTTGCTAAGGGGGAGTTGTCAGCCGGGACGGCTGAATGTTGCGAAGGGGGAAGGGGGGTGATGGTTGTTACTGTGTGGGGCACGCCATGCAATGTATTGATATCACCGACACAAATGAATGGGGATGCAGTACCGGGCCTCGTGGTGCTGAGGGAGCATGGACTGCCAGCCCTAATGGATAGAGCGCACAGGGGGGTGCCGGCTTCGGGAACGGGGTTCCACGGCACTCTGGTTGACCCCGGAGGACACGTGACCAGAGATGTCTACCCGGGGGCCCCCAAAAAAAGGGGGGCTGGGGGAACCTCCCCTAGAGTTCGAGAAGGGGGTCGTGGCTAGGGGCTGAGCGAGCCCCGCCACACGGGATAAAAAGCCAGGTCCCCAGTGGGACGGGGCTGTTATCATCCTGAAGACTCTATGTGCTGCCTCCGCCTGAAGACAAAGACCCACCCGGGACGAGGACCCAAGCTGGGGTCCTGTCCGTAGTAGCTACTCCCCGTGTAGCTAGTGTAGTTAGCCCGGTGGACCACCACCTTAGGGTAGCATCTGGTAAAGGGGCAGTTACCCCTTTGTGTTAGCGCGGTCGACTAATAAATGTGTCGCCTCCAGCCTGCGCGTCTGAGTGTCCGTTTGTGCCCACTACATATGTATATGTTATGTTTTTAAGAGAAGATATATTTTCCCCCCGGGCAATGCCGGGTTCTTCCCGCTAGTATTAAATAAATATACAAAAAAATATTTAAAATAAAGAAATACCACAGAAGTCATCAAAAATCACAATGTGACAATTGCCAAGTGTTTTCTACTTAAGGAAATTGCGAGTCATTTTAATTTGGACCGTGATGTCGGCGTGTCTTTTATGGTTATCGACCCGCAGTCTTTACCAGAGTGGCTTGCTGGGTTCAAACCGCAAGCCTCTGCAATAAGCGGTGAATGTGGTACCACTGGGCCACGTTACCACCCCTGTTGGATGTACATGTGCATACTACATATCCATATTCTGATCATAAGCAAAAGACTGATGGAATTGTCTTACTTGGTTCTCTTTTTGGGTTTTCGAGTAACCTTCTCATCTTCGGGCAGACCTGGGGTATTTTGTTCCATAGAATAAGAGAATGTCTCACCATTGCCTAGAGAAGACATCAGAAATAGAAAAAATATCACACTGAAATTCATAACTGACTTTCTTGCACAACATGTGTTTGCAGCTTTGTGTTATCATATTAAGATACTTTTGTGCCTTTGAATGCTGCTTATACAAAAATACCTCTCACACCACCACTGTGCAACTGTGGCATTCCACAAGGAAGTCTCTGTTCATGTCTGGCTTGTAATGACCTCAGCTTGGAAAGAGGAAAAGCCTCTGTCCCAAGGTATCAACAGCCATGATCAATCCAACAATGTTGCATTGCAACAATCAATCCAGCACCGAGCACACGGTTTAATCACTTATTCTCCTCCTCGGTGTTCTTTCTCTCGGACATGTTCCATTCCTTAGTTATTATTCTCAACCACGGTCCATCGTACCTTCTGATCATGAAGCTTCCAAGCCAAGCAGACTTTGCTTAACAGTTCGGATGATGTCATTAACCTGCATGCATTTTCTAATGCACGTGTTTATTTTCCTGTCTCTCACAGTAATTGCAAGTATGCTTCTCTCCATGCTTCTTTGCACACTTTTAATTGTTTGTTCGTTGATTTTGATTCATGGCTGTTTCCGACCTTAAAAAATGTGTATTCCATTACACATGGAAAGTTTTGCAAGTGATGACTGTGGACTATCTTTGAATGGGTGTGTAAAGACCGACAATAATGTGCAGTGCATTATTGCACATGACCCAGCAGCATTACCTGTGACATGTGCTTGCTTTTTCTTTTTCTTCTGGACCACTGAAGCTGGGATTTCCGATTCCTTTTCACTGTTGGATCCAGTCTTTTCAGTAAATCTTTCTGTGAACAGTGAAAATGTTTCTTGATAAGGCACCGTTCAGAGAACATAACACAGCCAATTATATAAAAAGTAGTGGACATGAAGCATTTACAGACCTGACTTTGTGTTGACATTTTTCTTTTTCTTCTTTCTTACAGATGTCAGTGGAATATCACCTAACCAGGAAAAACACGACACCATCACTAGGATGGGGTCCCATCCAGAGAAACCACGTGTGTATGGTTCTATATGACACCGGGAGATATGCGAGATGAATCAGTACTCTGCAGCGAAATACAATCCAGCATTTTAATTATCCTGTAACAATAAACACATTCATTTTTAAAATATGAATAACTCTATATATAATTGTAACTTTTAAAAATTTATTATGAAGCAATTACTCTTATCCAATAGTGCTCATGGGCCTTACATGCAAACGAGTGCACCAGGGGTTGTTGCTATCTTTGAAGGTGCTATTTCACAGATGGACCTAGTCTGCCGATGTTGCAATGTGGTTCTACCAAGTTGTCATTGGTGGGTTATTTTCCCCAAATGTTGAAGTTTGGAGTGTGATTCCAGCACACATGTCCGACTCTTTTTTAAAATAACGTTAGATTCTTACCATTACCGGACCAGTACCCTGCCACAGGCATTAATACATTAAGCCAAAACAACCACCTCAAATAGTTTTAGAGAACATTCACTTACCTTCACCCTCTTTTCTGTAAAGAAAAATACAAACACACAAAATACATTGAGTGATGCAACGCCTTTAATCTTTTTGGCATAAATACAAGTGTTAAGACGTTCAAACACCAAACACCAATTACAAGGCATAGCCCATACCTGTAATATAAAAAAACGCTAATATGCTTTGATAAAGTATGCACTAAATTTAGATTTAAAGCTTTCGTGACTGCGGGGATTCATATTATTGGTTCTTTCGGTAAAGTCACGTAGGAGGGAAATAATAAAATAATAAAAATATTTAACAATAAAATTCTTACGACATTTCGACTGCAACACAAAGCAATCGTCATCAGGTGTGAAAAACATGGCAAGAAAATTTGAAAAAAGTGGCGTTTTTTTCTTAACGTTAGAACCACGGACAGCGATTTATAATTCGGTGGGCTCACTTGACATTGACTTCTCTAAGACAGAGGTTCTCTGCAAGCCATCTGGCTACCATGAGAGATTCGTTCATGAGGCTATCCACATATACAAACACAGAAACAATTTCAACCGAGAAGATGGATTCTGGCTTAGCAGTCATTGGAAGGATTTGATCAACCATTTTGGGACTTAATTGATTGTGTTCACATTTACGGTGACTTTCAGACCGCATTCCATTCTCTTCCTATCCCCCCTCCTCTTTTCCGAACATAGATGGACTCGTCCATCTGAACTGCTAAAATCGCTGTCCGTGGTGCTGACGTTAAGAAAAAAACGCCACTTTTTTCTAAATTTCTGTTTTTCACACCTGATGATGATTGCTTGTGTTGCAGTCAAAACGTCGTGAGAATTGTATTGTTTTATATTTTTCTTATGTTATTGTTTCCCTTCTACGTGACTTTACCGAAAGAACCAAGAATATAAAGTATGCACTGTTCGTGAAACTGAATGGCCTGCACGAGACAGCCTCATTTATGGAGCTATCTCACCATTGCGAGATCAAAGGCCGCAAAAAGGCAAGCAGTAAAGGACAATGCAAACGATCATTAATAACACGGTGCTCTCTTAAGGATCGTAAAATGTCCCAAAAATGTGGCATTCTGTAAGTGATAATGCCGTTGTGTTTTACCTGGTTAAAGTCTAATTTAACCAACTGACATATACGCATTCCCAGTGTGTCCCAGGATCATTTGCTTCAACACGGCCACTGTGTGTGTGTGTTGGCTTGTCTCACGGTTATTTTCAATGAGGCCTTGCCTCGCTCCAAGGTTCATGTTTTTGCTGATCAGTTTTTACAAGCGGATTTTTGATGTAACAACACAAAAGCAGCATCGGCTTCTTATGGTTAAAATTACATGTTTGAGTTATAAGTTGCATGTTGCTAGTTGTAGGTGACGTGGCTTAGCACTGCAGATATTTAACTAAATTGAAGTAACAATTCATCTTACACGGGGAGAGGTGGCAAAGCCCGAGGATTATTCTGCAAAAGAAAATAGCAAAATCATACATACGCATGGATTTTGTAATGCTTACCAACAAATGGTTGTCTGTGGAAGTATTAACTATTTTAATGAATGAGCATGAACTGCTCTGACATGGCTCAGAAATGTGGTCGCTAATGCAGAAAATGTAAAGTGTGCAAACAAGCATGGAGAGATGCATGGATTCCACTGAGAGGGGGGCACACGGGTGAGAGAGAACGCACGCGGGATACTGCGGGCATAATCTTTGACTGCCACGGAGAGTGAGGGGGCTTGGACAGGAGGCGTCACGGCTACACGGGAATGATGGCACTCAGTGAAGAGTAATCACGGAACAGCAGCCAAGAAACGGAACCGAAGGGACGGAACGATGAATTCAGCTATTTTGCAGTTGTGTTAGTATTAAACTATGTTTTATTTTACCAGGTAAGGCCCACTGAGCTATGTATCACGTTTTTCAGAAGCGACCTGGTCACAATTGAAATCTCAATGAAGTTTATTATCGTGTGGAAATGTATAGCAGCAAAAAATACTGTAAACGCGTCCTTAAAATACACGTGTATTGTTGTCGATCGTGGTGAGTTGCGTTTTTGGGAGGTAAATTATGAGATGTGTTGTTATCGTGCTGTCGAGTGCTGCGTATAGACTGTAGGGTTATTTGTGAGTAGTGTGGTGTGTGAGTAGTCACAGTGAATGCGTCTCTACTGCAGTAAGTTTCTGTAATCGTGTCTGTGGCAGTGAGTAGTAGTGTTAGTAGTAGTAGTGTGAGTAATATTGTTTGTAGTGTCTCTAGCAGTAGCAGTGTTAGTAGTAGTAGTGACTAGTAAGAGTATTATTGTTTGTAGTGTCTCTGTGGTAGTAGTAGTCGTAGTGAGTAGTATTTGTAGTGTGTAGTAGTAGTAGTGTTAGTGAGTATTTGTGTTTGTCGTGTTAGTAATAATAGTGACTAGTAGTGACGAGTGTTGTTGTTTGTGAGGTCTGTGTTAGTAGTAGTAGTGACTAGTAGCGACTAGTGTTAGTGTTGTCTGTGTTAGTAGTAGTGGTGACTAGTAGTCACTAGTGTTGTTGTTTGTGGTGTCTGTGTTAGTAGTATTGACTACTAGTATTAGTATTTGTAGTATTAGTAGTATTTGTAGTGTTATTGTGTCTCCTTACGCCGTTGCTCATCACCGCGCGTCTTGGGCCGCTGGTCGCTCGGGGTAACTCGGGTGACGTCATCAAAGGGCGCGGCAGCGGCGCTTGCGTCACGTGACGAGAGGCGACGGGACGCCTCATTCCCACTCCCCCCCGCCTCGCTCCCCCTCCCACCCACCCACCTCGCTCCCCCACCCACCCACCCACCTCGCTCCCCCTCCCACCCACCCACCTCGCTCCCCCTCCCACCCACCCACCTCGCTCCCACTCCCACCCACCCACCTCGCTCCCACTCCCACCCACCCACCTCGCTCCCCCACCCACCAACCTCGCTCCCACACCCACCCACCTCGCTCCCCCTCCCACCCGCCTCGCTCCCGCTCCCACCCGCCTCGCTCCCCCTCCCACCCTCCTCGCTCCCCCTCCCACCCACCCACCTCGCTCCCACCCACGCACCTGGCTCCTACCCACCTCGCTCCCCCTCCCACCCGCCTCGCTCCCCCTCCCACCCGCTCCCACCCCCTCGCCCCCGCTCCCACCCGCCTCGCTCCCCCTCCCACCCGCCTCGCTCCCCCTCCCACCCGCCTCGCTCCCCCTCCCACCCGCCTCGCTCCCCCTCCCACCCCGCCTCGCTCCCCCTCCCACCCGCCTCGCTCCCCCTCCCACCCGCCTCGCTCCCCCTCCCACCCGCCCCGCTCCCCTTCCCACCCGCCTCGCTCCCCCTCCCACCTACCCGCCTCGCTCCCCCTCCCACCCACCCGCCTCGCTCCCCCTCCCACCCGCCTCGCTCCCCCTCCCACCCGCCTCGCTCCCGCTCCCAACCGCCTCGCTCCCACCCCGCCTCGCTCCCACTCCCACCCGCCTCGCTCCCACCCGCCTCGCTCCCCCTCCCACCCACCTCATTCCCCCTCCCACCCACCCGCCTCGCTCCCACTCCCACCCACCCACCTCGCTCCCCCTCCCACCCGCCTCGCTCCCCCTCCCACCCGCCTCGCTCCCGCTCCCACCCGCCTCGCTCCCACCCGCCTCGCTCCCACCCGCCTCGCTCCCCCTCCCACCCACCTCGCTCCCGCTCCCACCCGCCTCATTCCCCCTCCCACCCGCCTCGCTCCCACCCGCCTCGCTCCCCCTCCCACCCACCCGCCTCGCTCCCCCTCCCACCCGCCTCGCTCCCCGCTCCCACCCGCCTCGCTCCCACCCACCTCGCTCCCCCTCCCACCCGCCTCGCTCCCGCTCTCACCCGCCTCGCTCCCACCCGCCTCGCTCCCACCCGCCTCGCTCCCCCTCCCACCCGCCTCGCTCCCGCTCCCACCCGCCTCGCTCCCACCCGCCTCGCTCCCCCTCCCACCCGCCTCGCTCCCGCTCCCACCCGCCTCGCTCCCCCTCCCACCCGCCTCGCTCCCCCTCCCACCCGCCTCGCTCCCCCTCCCACCCCCTCGCTCCCCCTCCCACCCGCCTCGCTCCCCCTCCCACCCGCCTCGCTCCCCCTCCCACCCTCCTCGCTCCCCCTCCCACCCGCCTCGCCCGCCCTCCCACCCGCCTCGCTCCCGTTCCAACCCACCTCGCTCCCACTCCCACCCGCCTCGCTTCCCCTCCCACCCGCCTCATTCCCCCTCCCACCCGCCTCGCTCCCGTTCCTACCCGCCTCGCTCCCCCTCCCACCTGCCTCATTCCCCCTCCCACCCGCCTCGCTCCCGTTCCCACCCGCCTCGCTCCCGCTCCCACCCACCTCGCTCCCCCTCCCACCCGCCTCGCTCCCCCTCCCACCCGCCTCATTCCCCCTCCCACCCGCCTCGCTCCCGTTCCCACCCGCCTCGCTCCCGCTCCCACCCCGCCTCGCTCTTCCTCGCACCCGCCTCGTTCCCCTCCCACCCGCCTCGCTCCCCCTCCCACCCGCCTCATTCCCCCTCCCACCCGCCTCGCTCCCCCTCCCACCCGCCTCGCTCCCGTTCCCACCCGCGTCGCTCCCCCTCCCACCCACCTCGCTCCCCCTCCCACCCGCCTCGCTCCCCCTCCCACCCGCCTCGCTCCCCCTCCCACCCGCCTCGCTCCCCCTCCCACCCGCCTCGCCCACCCTCCCACCCTCCTCGCCCCCCCTCCCACTCTCCTCGCTCCCCCTCCCACCCGCTTCGCTCCCCCTCCCACCCACCCACCTCGCTCCCACCCACCCACCTGGCTCCTACCCACCTCGCTCCCCCTCCCACCCGCCTTGCTCCCCCTCCCACCCGCTCCCACCCGCCTCGCTCCCCCTCCCACCCGCCTCGCTCCCCCTCCCACCCACCCGCCTCGCTCCCACTCCCACCCACCCACCCACCTCGCTCCCCCTCCCACCCGCCTCGCTCCCCCTCCCACCCTCCTCGCTCCCCCTCCCACCCGCCTCGCCCGCCCTCCCACCCGCCTCGCCCGCCCTCCCACCCGCCTCGCTCCCGTTCCAACCCACCTCGCTCCCACTCCCACCCGCCTCGCTTCCCCTCCCACCCGCCTCATTCCCCCTCCCACCCCGCCTCGCTCCCGTTCCTACCTGCCTCGCTCCCCCTCCCACCCGCCTCATTCCCCCTCCCACCCGCCTCGCTCCCGTTCCCACCCGCCTCGCTCCCGCTCCCACCCACCTCGCTCCCCCTCCCACCCGCCTTGCTCCCCCTCCCACCCGCCTCGCTCCCGTTCCCACCCACCTCGCTCCCCCTCCCACCCACCTCGTTCCCGCTCCCACCCGCCTCGCTTCCCCTCCCACCCGCCTCGCTCCCCCACCCACCCGCCTCGCTCCCCCTCCCACCCACCCGCCTCGCTCCCACTCCCACCCACCCACA